TGGTAGAGTGCTAGCCTTGAGCTGAAGAGCTGAGGGACAGCGCCCAGGCCCAGAGTTCAGGACCCACGACCGGACCCCCCAAAAAAAATTTAGTAAACATCCTTTTTAAGATTTCTGTTTCATATTTTGTGATTTTATAATAGGTAAATGAAGTGGCAAGGTAGAGTTGATAAGTTGAAAATGAAACGTTTTGTTCAGAAAATACTACTGAACAAATATAAATGACTTGATCTTGAGGTCCTTGTCTCTGATAGGCCTTCATATTTTGATTATGGCCCCTTTGGTTTGACTTAAAAGTTCTAAGTTTGTGGTGACTTTGTGTGGGCTTTCTTATGGGCATCCATACTGTTTATAGTAAAAAGGTAAAATCAGAGACATAACTGCTTTTCTATATATTTGTAAAAGAACTTCAATCCACATAAGTTTACTGTTAGATTTGGAATTTACTGCTTAATTTTCTCGTTGCTTTTAAAAAGCAAATAATAAAAGGAAAGTTCTACAATGTAATCACTGAAGAGAAAGAATAATATTTTTTTTTATATTTTAGAATTTCTTTTTTTTTTTTTGTCAGTCGTGGGGCTTGAACTCTGGGTCTGGGCTCTGTCCCTCAGCTCTTCAGCTCAAGGCTAGCTCTCTACCACTTGAGCCACAGAGCCACTTCCGGTTTTCTGGTGGTTTGTTGGAGATAGGAGTCTCACAGTCTCTCCTGCCCAGGCTGGCTTTGCACCGCGATCTTCAGATCTCAGCCTCCTGAGTAGCTAGGATTACAGGCGTGAGCCACCAGCGCCTGGCTATATTTTAGAATTTCTAAACCTGTTGTGTTCTGATGTTTTTTTCCCTCTGAACTTTCACAATTTTCCTTCCTTCATTCCTTCCTTTCTCTCTCCCTTTCCTCTCTCCCTCCCCTTCCTTCTTTCCTTCTTCCCTTTCCTCCTTTCTTTCCTCCCTTTAATCTCTTTCTTGAGCTGGTACGGGCACTTGAACTCAGGGCCTAGGCATTTTCCTTTAGTGTTTTTGTTTTTGGTGCAAGGCTGGTGCTCTGCTACTTGAGCCACAGTTTCACTTCTACCTTTTTGATAGTTAATTGCAGATAAGTGTTTCATGGCCTTTTCTGCTTGAGCTGGGTTCTAACCATGATCTTCAGATCTCAGCCTCCTGAATAGTGGGTTCCTGGCTTCACAATTTTTTTGTATTTGCTATCAAAACGTAATTAGATTATATCCTATTTCCATTTTGCATATAAAACACTTTTTGTAGGCCATTTGGAAATGGAACATTTCTAAGAGAAAACTATAGCCACAGCCACCATAAGGTGTTCCTTGGTAACTAGCGGTGCGGTCTCTAGGCTAATTTATGTACTATTCAGGAATCTTAGGGGATTGTATCCCCATGGACAGTTCTTTTGTTCATCAGCTTTGTTTTTGACCTACCAGTCTTGAACATATCCTTTACCCCACCTACACTTGGAATTGACTGTGAAAAACATTGAGCAGTATATTTACTGTTACAATATTTATTTTATTTTTTTGTGTGCTGATGCTGAATATTGAATTCAAGGTCTTATACTCTTGCTTGGCTTTTTCACTGGCCTGGTGTGTGCTACTACTTGAGCCACAGTTCCAGGATTTTGCTTTTTAATCGGAGAGTCCCTTGGACTTTTCTGCCTGGCTGGCTTCAAACTAACTTCCTCAGACTGAGCCTCCTGAGTAGCTAGATTACAGGCATGAGCCCCTGGTCCCAGACTCTTAAAATAGTGCAGCCTCCTGGCGACTTAGGAGAACTGAGATCTGAGTATCTTGGTTTGAAGCCCAAAGAAAAGTGCTTGGGAATCCCAATTAACCAGCAGAAAAGCAGATTGGAGTGTGTGACTCAAGTGATAGAACACCAGCTGTGAGCAGAATATATAAGACAGCAAGAGTATGAAGCCTTGCCTTGAGTTCAAGCCCTCACTATTGGCACAGAAAAAGTGCTCAAACAATAGATTGATAGATGCATTTAGCAAAATGTATTAAATAATTACTGACATGAAAATCTGTTCATATTTAATTAGAAGTATATAATGATGTTTAAATTAGGTACTTTCTGTTTTTTCACAGTACTAGAGTTTGAGCTTGAGCTTTGAGGCGTTGAGCTTGGTTCGTTTGCTTGGCTGGTTCTCTACCACTTGAACCATGCTTCCAGACCATCTCTCTGCTGGTTATTCAGACTTCGTGATTTTTTTTTCTCCCCAGCCTGGCTTTGTCCAGTTTGGGGGGGAAGTTTTTTTTTTTGGTCGTTCATGGGGCTTGACCTCTGGGCCTGCAAAGCCTGTTCAGTTAAACTGAATGAGACCAGGTGCTGGTGATTCCTGCCTCTGATAGCCACATGAGGCTGAGATCTGAGAATTGAGGTTCTTAGCCAGTCTGGGCAGAAAAGTTCATGAGAATCCCATTTTCAGTAACCAGTGGAGCTATGCCTCAAGTGGTCTAAAGCTGTAGCCTTGGGCACAAAAGTTCAGGGCAGCGCCCAGGCTCTGAGTTCAAGGCCCAGGATCAGTACCAAAAAAAAGTTTATGTAAATGAGATGGTGTTATGGATCTAGGAACTCATTACTGAATTAATAAAGTATATCAGATTGACATGTAGTTCTGTGGTTTAGTGCTTGACTTGTTTCTGTGAGACCCTGGATTCAATCCTTAGTACTGTAAATGAAAAAAACAGTAGTATTGGAATAAAATATAGTCTACCTTATCCCTACCCCTAAACAGAAAACATTTATTGTTCTGCAAAGAAACGGAACCTAAAAATCTTTTAGAAGCCAGGTGGCTGGTGTTTCACACCTATACTCCTAGCTATTCAGCCTGAGATACGAGGACTAAAATTCTAAGCTAGCCTGGAAGAAAAGTCTGTGGCTCTCTTGTGCTCCAAGCTGGAAGTGGAACTATGGCTGTAGTACAGTGACTGTAGCCTTGAGTGAAAAAGCTAAGCAGTAGTGGGAGGCTCTGAGTTCAAGCCCCAATATCTGCACACGTACTCCCCCAAAAAGACTTTTCCAACATTTGTTCTGCCAGTACTTAGAGCCTTCTCATGTCTTGGTGAGATTGCGTTCATTGAAATGAGTTCATCAGGCTTTATATCCTTGTCTTCTCTTTAATTTGTATTTTATAAAATGCATCATATAATAGTGTTATTTCAGTAATGTAATATGTATATATTTATTTGAGGTTGCATTGTACTTATTATCTTCTTCTGTTTTAGTGCTTTTTTAGGACCAAAGGATATATTTCCTTACTCAGAAAATAAGGAAAAGTATGGCAAACCAAATAAACGAAAAGGTTTCAATGAAGGCTTATGGGAGATAGATAACAATCCAAAAGTGAAATTTTCAAGTGCACAGGTGAGTCATTGGATGCCCACTTAGTTTAGTATTATTTATTCAGTCTTGGAGGAAAAAATACCATCATAGCTAGGGGAAAATAAGATGGCATTTAAGAGTCTTACTAATTTTGGATTAAATTGTGTTCTTATTTATGGAATAAACTTTGACTTTTTATGTCTAGATGAACTACTGAAAATATTACACTACTAAAGAGACCTCAGAAAACTGAGAAATGCTTGGTTATTTACTCCTAAGAATAAAGTTTAATATATTAGATTTAAAGCCATATGTACTGTCTTTTTTTCCTTTCTTTCTTTTTTTTGGTCAGTTGTGGGACTTGAACTCTGGGTCTGTGCACCATCCCTGAGCTCTTCAGCTTAATGCTAGAGCTCTACCACGTTGAGCCACAGCACCACTTCCAGTTTTCTGGTAGTTAATTGGTGATAGAGTGTCAGGGACTTCCCTTGCCCAGGCTGGCTTTGAACCTCGATCCTCAGATCTGAGCCTCCTGAGTAGCTGGGATTACAGGCGTGAGCCACCAGTGCCTGGCTTCTACTTTTTTTTTTTTTTTTTTAAGATTTTTATCTTGTATTAGCTCTCAGACAATTCCATACATGCATACAGATCGTTGAAAATAAGTTTTATTCTGTTTTCACACATGTGTAAAGTACTTAATTTGCCCTCTCCTTGGCCTTCTTCCCTCCTGCTATACCTGATCACCCAGAAGAGCCTATATTACTTTCCTATCATTCATTTTTATTTTTTTTATTTTTATTTTTTTTTAATTTAATTTTATTTTATTTGTGAACAAACTGTACAGAGGGGTTACAATTGCATGGGCAGGATAATGCGTACATTTCTTACCAAGCATTGCAGCCTCCTCCTTTGTTTACCCTT